TGAAAACAGAAGTTTGGGAATGAAATAGAAAACTGGGAGGTGTATCTAAGAGGGACCAAACCAGAGCATAGCCCAGGTATCAAAGTTTGACCAACACAACAAAATGCATGGTTCTTCACACTACTGCTAAATTCTCTCTGCCTCATCACCTATATAAGTGGAAAACTTGAAACCCTAAAGAGACAATGGAGATCAGTATCATCTAATTTTACAACAAATTTAAGACTATAATCTATTTCAAAAGACGTTCCTCATGTCAAAACTCATAAAGAATTCTCTTTCCTGCAAGGATTATTCCTCTGTGTGCATGTGTATGTACATCTGTGTGTACACATGCATTTATATGTTAAGAAGGAGAAAAAGTAGTAGAGGAAAGAGTACAGGATTTTGCAATAATTTCTGTGCAGTTCTACCTCCATAACTTTGCACAAGACACTACAAGACTGTAACTTTAAGTTTAATTTGTGAATAAGTCTTGTATAATCACCTACACAATTTTATATTGCAAGTCAATTTGCATGGTTCCCAAGGAGATAAGTTTTTTAAAATCTTCTCTGGCATCCACTGATAAAAAATGGGTGAAACCAGTATAACAAGATATAATGATGAATTAGTCCCTACAGAAAAGTTATCTTTTACTGAGCCCATCAGGAAAGCCTAGATAATCACTAAACATTTTGTATTTGCTTTCCTTTATTATCTCCAGCTTCATATTTTTACTGTGCTTCAGCAGAGCATTTGCAATTCTCTCTTTTTTCTTTTACAAAATACCGAACAAGGATAAAGGATTTGGGAACATTGCGTTACATGTAAACAAGAATAATACGATACATTTTCCATTTATGCAGGTATACTTATTAGGTAAAGCATCCATTTAAAGTATTAGGTCATATACTTTACAAATTCTACCCATAATCAAAAGTGGAATTTTTACAGCAATTACTATACATGATAAACATCAAATAAGCTTTGAATGTAGAACTGTAGCCCCTGTCTGTGAGGCATGGGAGGGAAAGAGAGGAACAAGACAACTTCTTAAAAAATTAACAAAAAAGGCAAGAAAAGGCCATGGAGCCTTCACCTGTCATTCTACTTGAGTTAAGGGATATTTAAAAAGGTCATAATTAAACTGCAAATAGCCAGTATTTCCACAACACTAATTTTCTGACAGGATATTTAAACAAGAGAAATAGAACCACTTTCTACCTACAAAATACATTAAACTGTATGCTAAATATAGTATTGTAAATGACTGCTAATTTTTCAGCTGCATCTCAGATAAGCATCTCTCCAAAGTAATACATGACATTTTCCTATTTTCCAACACTGTACTAACCATTAAAAATGCACTGAATAATGTTTGCATGGGCATCTTTCTTCTCCCAAGTGAAGACAATATAAACCATGACAGATGTAGTATTGCATACGGTGACTGTAGAAGTACCTTCCATGGAAAACCATGCAAACCTCTTGGGGCTACGTGAAAGATGCAGACAGCAGGTGAGAAGAAAGTGAACAGTAAGCAAGTAAGATTGGGAAGATCATTTAAGCATTATAGATCTTATAATGATTCTTGCAGGCACAGTGAGATTTACCAAGATATTTACAAGGACACTGGAGAAATGTGAGTTTAATGCAGAAGAGGAATGCCTATATGATGATTTGGAAAGTGGGAAACATTCAGCTTAGCTGAAAGCAAACATGGTTTCCCACAGGATTTTTTTTCCCCCCTCTGCAAATACAAGTTTCAATGAATACTGATGAAGGTGTAAAGAACTGATCTACATCAGCTCTAAGGCATGTAAAAACTGTGGGTTTAGATTTGCAGGTGCTCCAATTTCTAGCGAAATGCAAAGGAACCTGGTAATATGCATAGACAAACCAGATTCTGTTCTGTCTTTTTGATACACGAATTCTGGTGAGAAACACCTAAATCGTAAAAAAGAAAATTTAGTTTCCTAAGTCAATAGAATGTTTTCCATCTATCTTAGGAACCACAAGAAATAATTCTCACCTAGTAGATACTGATTTCCACCTTCTGTCTGTGAAATCAAATAGACAATCATAATTACTATAAATACATTTAGTGGAAGTTCAGAATTTCTTTAAATGGGCCATTTTTATTTAATTGCCCATATAGATAATTTAATTTATGTCATTCTTCTCTGAAAAATCTCGATTTATGCATTTAATAACCTCTTGGACTTCCAAGGAAAGACAGATTCAGGACCGAATAGCAGGTGTGTCAAACTAAAAATGATAACCTAAGATCTGTGTGCATTAGCTGTGTGCCTAAGATTGGATTCTATAACATCTAATAAGGGATGAGCTCCATTTGAAGCTCTTCTGAAAAAAAAAAAAGAGCATTCACAGCTTCTATTCCCTCTCTGAATTCCTGGTCACCTGCAGCCAACAGGGTGCTAAAGTGACCGTTTCTTCAACACAGAGATACATTTTCTTGAAACACATGGGAACCTCACTACTTCTGAGTCTGTTATTCCTCTGTCAAATTTATTTGAAATTAGCCATGGTGTTAAAAAAAAACATACAGTAAGGGACATGCTGTTAAAAAAAGGCCTACCTTTAGCAAACTGGACTTTTCAATCACTGAAAAAGATGGATTTTAAATAGTGGTATTCAGATAGGAAAAACTGTTAATTGAAATGACTATGAACTTTAAATGGTTTTTTTAGACACATTTAAACATGTGGAAACTACAATCCAGCATGTACACAGAGATTTTTAAGCAAATGAAAAGGTCAAATAGATTGTTTACATTTTTTCAAGAACACTTTAAAATTCTTGTTTTGTTCTTTACATACTTTTATACTTTTACATTTTTTAAAATAAGCATTTCAGTTAATTTTAGAGCACTATCCCAGGCTCTTACTTTCTTTAAAGCATTATTTTTATGTGAAATTCAACATCACATTGCCAGCATATGAAATTAAATATACATCCTCACTGTTTTTTCCAGTTTAGTTGCTGTTTCTCCAAGCAAGTTCTAAAGTGTTTTCAAATAAGTTTAAAGACATCCAATTTATTTTTATTCCAGTAAATTGCTTTCTAAAGTTGCATTGTATCCTGAAGGTGTGATACCCAGTTATTAACTTCAGAAAATACACAGAATTCCCCAATATATGAGTATCTCTTCTAGCAATAACTAGAAGCACTGGATATAAGGATCTAGAATAATACTTTCAGTAAGATATAAAAATATAATTGAAGAAAGATAAGGAATACAAGAAATAGTTTTACATGAACATGTATGATATTTCTCTGTTTTTGTTCAAGATAACTGAGAAATTTAGGTAGAGGCGTCCTTTCTTGGCAGCCTGTGAACTTTTACTGTTTTCAATCACATAATACATATTTTAACATTTACAAGCAGTTTGCAACAACATTTCAAAGTCATTTGCAACTCAAACCTGGCTTCCTACTACAGGTAAAGGAGAACTTTTAACAAGGTGAATATTAACATAAAATGATTACTTTTGACTTGCCCCGTTGTAGCCTGTCATGCGTGTAAATCTTGTGATGTTGTAGCCTGTACAGGTCACATTTTGATCATAACTTCACCTGACTCACTGAAAATCTTGTCAATTGTGGGAGTGTCTTCCCCCTTATCCAGACTGATTTTTTTTTTTAATTTTTTTTTTTAAACACACACCAGTCTTGCATCTACTGTTCTTCAGCTATAAGCCCAATAACCCGCTAATATTTTGAGTGGATTTACTACAGCCTTCTCAGAGTAGCAGCACAGAGGCACCAGTTGCAAGATTTCTTTCCTGATTGGACTGATATGACTATATGATACAGGAGAAAAATTTTCAAAATATTACCTTACAGATACAGGTTTGGGATTAGCCAGGTAGAAAACCAGAATTGAGCATCTGAGAGACTAAGCAGAAGCCTACCCAGCTAGGCCAAAACTCAAAATAGTACAGTGGATATTTATTATAAAATATGGGCAGCCACCTAAAAAAAGTATCTGAGACATTTACATTGTAATTATTAAATATGTAAATTTTGTTTCCATTTTCACAGACAAGATTTACCTTATACCCACATCAGCATGTTCTAATTTGTGCCACTGCTTTCTTTGGCTCTGGTTTTGTGTACTGTTTATATGGTGTACTACTCTAATTCTTCACAGCATTTATTTTTTTAACAAGTCAGTCAATTGTCAAACTCTTAAATTGCATCAGAATTACACTGCACAAGTTTTCAGACTTTAATAACATAACTCCATTGGATTATGTTTCTCAGATGCAACAAGAAATTAAGCTTCTAAAATGAAGCATAGGAATACAGTTTTTCTTTAGGGAGATACCTTCAGAAGTAATCTACTAGCAGTCTGAGTGCAGCAAGAACAGTCTCAAGCTACATGAAATGTATTTGAATGACAGAAGTACTGATTATTTTAAAACTTAATTTAAAAATATATTCATATCTAGACAATGTGACAGAATTGTCTAAACTTTGCTATTAGCTCTAACTTTTTTATTTTAAAATATTTTTATGTTTATTCTTCCTCAGCTGCAGCTAGCAAGCCCTGAAATGTCACTGCTTACAGGCTATTTGCATGCTCAAAATAACCTAAATTTAAACTCCTCTGATTTTTGACCCAAAGGAATAAACTGCAATCAAATACAAATTGCAAAAATATTCAGCATTATAATTCAGTTTCCTGGAACCTGAGTTTACAGTCATCTCTGGTTCCCATTTTTATATCTACTAACCAAATCCAGCCCTTCTTACATAAAAGATGAATCTCATAATCTGTAAACAATTCTGCCCAAGTGTTTTACTGTATTTATGCTCCCACTAAATTTCATGATTTTTTCCACTTTCATATTCTTCAGAACAAATGTCCCCCTGACTGATGCCAGTAGTTTTTCAGAAATTTACTTAAAGCAAATGCTTCTCAATGACCTGTTGAAAAATAAAGCTCAACATGTATATAACAATAAAATTAAAGTACTGTTAATGGTTCTTACCAGCTCACTGCTAAATCGTGCACTTTTAAAACGTTGCTCAGTTTATACTCTCCAGATTTCAGAGGTTGAGTATATTCTTCACCACGCACAAGGTATGGGATCACTTGAGTATCAACAGGGAACTCTGAATCCTAGGGGGGAAAAAAAAAATTAATTATCAGAAATGCTGCTTAAGTTCATACAATATAAAACTTACTATGTTACTGTTTTGAAAACACAATTTTTTCTTATGTTTCCACTCTATTTTTCTCCTCTGTTCAATTTCCAATTTATTAAATCACTGTTGTCCTGGTTTGATTAATTTTGATACATATTGTTAAAGCTGCATGCAGGCATACCTGGAAGACTGGGGTCTGTAGTGAACAACTGAATACTACAAGATTTATTAATTTGTTCTTTTAAGATTATATTCCTATGAGCTGACTTCTGGACAGTTATACAGCATTGCTCTAGAAAGAGATCAGCCACCAATATGAATCATTACCTGCAACCAAATATAAATTCACCATTTATAACAGCAAAACCCCTTCTTCCTCCAAATTAGAAAAAAAAAACCACTTACGTAGTTCAACATAACAGCAGTGGAAGGCTGTTGAATTGTTAGTATAAAATCGCCTATATTAAATTCAGGACAATCTCTGATTTTAGCAAGTATTTTGTGGAAGACAGTCAAAAGTTAAAGTCAAAATTCAGGTAAATGAATTAAACAAAAAATAAAAAGTTGTAAAATTGTTTAACAGTACATTTAAAACTACTAATTTAAGATGAAGTGATCTATCCTGCACTGGACCATATAACGATTTAAATAAGTTAACTTCTAGAAACCTTATCATTTCATCAACTGGCAGCCAGAAAGCTCCTTCAATTTGGAATGTAAGAGCTATTTCATTGTCCAAATCACTCCATTTATATTTGTCCTGGTTTCGGCTGGAATAAAGTTAATGTTTCTTCTTAGTAGCTAGACCAGTGCTGTGTTTGGGATTCAGTGTGGGATTTGGTATGAGAAAAATGCTAGTAACACACTGATGTTTTCAGTTATTGCTGGGATTCCAAGGACTTTCCAAGTCACCTCGTCCTGCCCCTGCGCAGGTGCACAAGAAGCTGGGAGGGAGCAGGGCCAGAGCACCGGGCCCAAACTGGCCAACAAAATATTCCAGAGCATGTAACGCCATGCTCAGTATATAAAGGGGGGGTGGCAGGGAAGGAGGGGGCTCGCTCTCGCTTCCGGGATTGCGACTGCGGGATCTTGGGATTTCGGGATCGCTGGCTGGGAACGGGCTGGGCATCAGTCAGCGGGTGGTGAGCAATTGCATTGTGCATTGCCTGTTTGTACTTTCTATTACTGTCACTGTTTTATTTTATCACCATTATTAGACTGTTTTTATCTCAACTTACGAGTCTCCCTTTGCCCCTCCAGTTCCCTCCCCCATCCCCAGGCCGGGGAGGGTGGGCGAGCAGCTGCCCGGTGCTTGGCTGCCGGCCGGGTTCAAACTACAACAGTCCTTTTTGGTGCCCAATGTGGGGCTCAAGGGTTGAGATAATGACAGGTCTGATCCGTGTGTTATACCAAATTTGTTATACGCATTCATTATAGTGGTTTATCAGGTCCTTGTTATAATGCCGATGGTTCATTTTGCTACAATGTCGATCTACTGGCTCCTAGAATTGTGGTTTTCATTTTTACAGTTGTGCTATACATCACCTTACTTGCCCTATATATTCCCCATGCTGCTGCTTATCACCTGTGGGAGGTGGATTAAGATTTTTGCTTTGCTGTACTATGTAACAGTGATTTATGGCATGATAAAGATGTCAGTCCTGAGATTAGTCTGGTATTTGTATTCAGCATGGTCATCATCTCTGTACTTCGGGGGTCATCTAGCGGAATGGGTTAACAATTACACCCTTTACCTTTTCTCCTCGGAGAGCCAACCCAAGCAGGAGACACCTTCTTCCATCTTTTCGTTCTCTGGGCTGCTTACAATTGAGAATGTTGGGAATTTTGAATATCTTTGGAATGCTGACACTAAAGTCATTGTCTTACTGCTAGGAGCTGTCGTGTTCCTGACCGTGGTTAAGGTTTTGTTCAGGGTTATGCAACTATTTCTGAGTCTCACTCGGAGATCTACCCCAAGGTTGGAGAATTATGAGTGGCAGGGGGTGTGGGACAGCATGGGCAAGTATCTAGGACAGTGGTTACCTCCAGTGTTTTGGAACTTCACCCCTGAACAAGTGCAGGATCCTGAGAAACTAGTAAAGTATTTAGAAAAGGTGTGCTGTCATCCTGGTAACTCCAGAGAGACACAAATCACTGCAACATGCTGGGGCCTGGCCCACGCCTACCGAGCCCTGCTCACCACTATGCAGTACCCTCAAAAAGAAGGGGTCTCTAGATCTGATAACAAAATGACAGGCACTGCAGCCACTCCAGTTCTGGCAACAGGTACTGCAGCTAATGTGACCTCTACGACAGGCACTACAGCCACTCCAGTTCTGGCAACAGGTAACATAGCTAATGTGACCCCTACGACAGGCACTGCAGCCACTCCAGTTCTGGCAACAGGTACTGCAGCTAATGTGACCCCTACAACAGGCACTGCAGGTGAACCAGAGAACCAACCCATCGTGGTGTCAGTGGCTCCCATACATAAGAACAAAAATACAAAAAAATCACTTTGCACTGTAAAAGATGATGATGAACCAGGGCCATCAGGAGAAGAGGAGGAGGAGGAGGAAGAGGAGGAGGCAGAACCAGTGGTAACCACCCGATCCCTCCCCCTGAGTGAGCTGCAAGACCTGCAAAAGGATTTCAGCCGCCATCCAGGTGAGCACCTTGTTACCTGGCTGCTCCGATGCTGGGATAGTGGGGCCAACAGTGTGGCAGGCTGGGAGGCCAGGCAGCCAGGATCCCTGTCTAGGGAAGGGGGCACTGACAAGGCAATTGGAAGTAGGACACAAAACCTCAGCCTCTGGAGGCAACTTCTGTCAAGCGTGAGAGACAGGTACCCCTTCAAAGAAGATGTTATATGTCATCCAAGTAAGTGGACCACCATGGAGAGAGGTATCCAATACTTGAGGGAATTAGCCGTGCGGGAGGTGGTTTATTATGACCCAGACGATGTGTGGCTACCCACAGACCCAGATGAAGTCCAGTGCACCCGGTCCATGTGGCGGAAGTTTATACGGAGCGCGCCATCGCCGCATGCCAATGTATTAGCAATAATGGACTGGAGAGATGAAGAGGGACCAACAGTGGATGAATTGGCTCGCCGACTCCGGCGATATGAAGACAGTCTCCCTTCCTCCACTCTTGTGGCTGTGGAGGAAATATCCAGAGAAGTCCAGAAACTCAGAGAGGACATGTCCTACTATCCACCTGCAAGGACTAGGATCCCAGCTATTAGGAGCAAACGTTTCCCTACTCGAGAGAGTCAGTATACACCACGGGGGATACTATGGTATTGCCTGCACGACCACGGAGATGACATGAGAAAATGGGATGGGAAACCTACCTACCTTCTAGAAGAGAGGGTGAGAGAGTTGGAAGGAAGAACAGCTACAAATCAAGGTTCTTTCAGGAGAAATGCCGCTCCAGTCTCTGCTAATCAATTACCCAAACTGCGTAGAAGATTTGACTTTGCTCCTGATCCTATGAGGAGAACTTCCAAGTCATTCTTACAAGAAGTGAGTGACCAGGATGAGACCGAGATTCGCACAGACCGCACTAACCCCTTCATCAATAATGGGTACTATGAGCAGAATTAGAGGGGCCCTGCCTCCAGCCAGATGGAGGAGAGGGACAATTGTGTTTACTGGACTGTGTGGATTCGATGGCCTGGCACATCTGACACCCAGGAGTATAAGACTCTGGTAGACACTGGTGCCCAATGCACCCTGATGCCATCAAAATCTAAAGGGACATAGCCAATTTGTATTTCAGGAGTGACAGGGGGGTCTCAACAGCTGACTGTGTAGGAGGCTGAGGTGAGCCTAACTGGGAATGAGTGGCAAAAGCACCCCTATTTGTGACTGGCCCAGAAGCTCCATGCATTCTGAGTATAGACTATCTCAGGAGAGGGTATTTCAAGGACCCAAAAGGGTACCGGTGGGCTTTCGGTATAGCTGCCTTGGAGACAGAGGAAATCAAACAGCTGTTTGCTTTGCCTCGTCTCTCAGAGGACCCTTCTGTTGTGGGATTGCTGAGGGTCGAAGAACAACAGGTGCCAATCACTACTACAGCAGTGCACTGATGGCAATATCGCACCAACAGAGACTCTGTAGTTCCCATCCACCAACTGATTCGTCGACTAGAGAGCAAGACTGATCAGCAAGACTCACTCACCCTTTAACAGCCCCATATGGCCAGTGTGGAAGTCTAACGGAGAGCGGAGACTGACAGTGGACTATTGGGACCTGAACAAAGTCACACCACTGCTGAGTGCTGCCGTGCCAGACATGCTAGAGCTTCGATATCAACTGGAGTCAAAGGCAGCCAAGTGGTACGCCACAACTGATATTGCCAGTGCCTCCTCCTCTATCCCTTTGGCAGCAGAATGCAGGCCACAGTTTGCTTTCACCTGGAGGGCTGTCCAAATACACCTCTAATCAACTGCCACAGGGGAGGAAAAACAGCCCCACCATTTGCCAAAGGACTGATCCAGACTGCACTGGAGCAGGGTGAAGCCCTGCAACACCTGTGTTACATTGATGACATTGTATGGGGAAATACAGCAGAAGAAATTTTTGAGAAAGAGATAAAATAGTTCAAATCCTTCTGAGAGCCAGTTTTGCCATCAAGTGGGCCTGTGCAGGAGATTCAGTTTTTAGGAATAAAATGGCTAGATGGATGGCGTCGGATTCCAATGGATGTGGTTGATAAAATAACAGCTATGTCCCCACTGACTAGCAAAAAGGAAACACAAGCTTTTTTAGGTGTTGTGGGTTTCTGGAGAATGCATATTCCAAATTACAGTCAGATTGTAAGACCTCTCTATCAAGTGACCCAGAAAAAAAAATATTTTACATCGGTCCCTAAGCAACAACAACCCTTTGAACAAATTAAACAGGAAATAGTTCATGCAGTAGCCCTTGAGCTGGTTTGGGCAGGACAAGATGTTAAAAATGTGCCCTA